GGTAGTATTATTTATTTTGTTGACTAGTGTATAAACCAATGAGATTGCAGCTATTTTTATACAATATAATAAACTTTAATAACTCATATAAAATCCAATTTTAGATTAAGTTTTTTAATTTTGTTTTGCCACAAAATGGTTCTCATGTTACAAACACATGTTTCTACATTTCTAAAAAGACTGCAATATCAGGCAGCTTTTAGCCAATCGAAAATATCTAAACAATAAAAACGAAATTTAAACTTTAAAAATGAACAAAATGTGAATGATATTGTTATACATTACCAAATTGGTTCGTGACTTATGTGATAACGTTTTACATGTTAATGTTGGATTTGACAATGTATTACTTACTATATTGTTTTAGATTGATTGTGTACAATGTATTCGCCTAATCATATCAAAAATGTGTATTGATTGTAGTACAATGCTGGAAAAATTAGTTCATTCATTTTTTTCGAGGCGTTTCTCAATTGCTGCATTGCAGCAACATATGTACTTGTATGAGTTTGAGTAAGAGAAATGATTTATTGCGGGATAACATGATTAATTTTGCTGGTATCAAAATGTTTTGCATAGAAAATCAAAACATACATATACATATGCTAAACAATTCTGTGTTCATTTTCTTTTTTCAATTTGTCGCAAAACCTTGGGTATTTATATGTTTCCCTCGCTATTTCCCGCACAGACGTAATTTCGAATTTACAATCTCGTAAACAATTATACATCGAATAAAGAAATAAAACGACGAAACCACTGCGCTGAATACCAGTGCGCCGTTTCTGAACTTTCCTGTGTGTGAGAATGCTTCTCCTATCACTCCAGATATTTTGCGAATGAAATCGAAACAGCCAAAATGGTTAGACTTTTATTTGGTGATATCCATCAAGGTAGTTTTCTATCACATGTTGCTACTCTTATGACATGTCATATTACATTCATCAGAATCATTAATTTACATTTAACCTATTCCTTGGCAGCCTTTTTATGCTTGTGTAAAACCTCGTTTGAGTTTTTCTCTTGTGGAGTATAAATATAATGACCAGGGAGTCATTATTCTTTTAAAATATCATTTAACGTCGTTTTACTGGCCTTTCAACTCGGCATGGTGAAGAAATCGACAACTGGTGCTTACGATACGAACTTTGGTTAACACACTGCCCTTAGTAATGTTAACTTTTTACCTATGCCTGTCAACGACGTGCACAAACCGAGGAGAAGAAAACGCAGATGATAGAAAGAGCATGTGAGGATTTGTTTGAAGCTTTGTCAGTGAAGACAAACTGGTTTTTACTTTTTAATGTGCATAATCTTTTCAAGAGTGTAATTGTTTTATCCTTCGAGAAACGAAGGACTCCAAAATATTGTTGTGCATATGTTCGTGATGCATAACAATAAATATGAGGTAGTCGCGGTTATTCCACAGAAAGAGTCATTTATATAAGGTTACTGTAACAAAATAATTGGTTTAGAATTTGCATATATTTTACTTATATCTATAAATGTTTGTAAAGTTTCAGAAGTGGGTGTTTGTTATGACTTTCTTTTCCTTGCGAATAACTTTTAATAAATGTTAACAAGTCATGGATTTATACGAAATATTGAAATTTTAACGAGTGACACGGAACTTGGTAAACGATAAAGAGATTAGAAAAAAACTTCGTATTTGAGTCGCATATTTGATACATATGTATAATCTTTTAAGCATTGATGTACACTAAATAACATTTATGTTTAGTCAAATTTTCAAATAAATTACATTGTAAAAATACAGAATCAAACTTGCACATAACTAAACTTTGTGTTGCAAATGCGAGACAAATAAGAAAGAACTAAGACAAAGAAAATGCATCGTGTTTCTTCTTTTTATCTGTCGTGTCAGCATGATCGCATGTGCTTTTTCGTATTAATAAGGAGGCGTGTTTGAGTATGAATCACCTTGCGTGATAGTTCTAGTTGTAGATATTTTCTACGTATTGTTTTATGACAAATGTCTCTGATCATTGTAACTTCAGTACAACACAATTTGTGAAATGTGTTTGACTACTAATAAGTATCCCAGGGCAAACACTAATTTTGACAACAGTGATATGAATAATATAATTGTAGTAGACCGCAAAATGATGCTACATATGAATTATTTAAATTGTGGGCATTGTTCTTTCAGAGAAGATCTTTTGCGACATTTAACCGTACAAAAGAGAGAGAGAAGAAACGGACAAAACGACAAAATTTAAAATGTTGCAGGATCGGAAGGATATGTCTATGTACACTAAAAAGAGACCCTAGGGCGTTGCCATTTTTGATGTCATTGGTATGACATATGTATTTGGTAGAGCTTTACTTAGTCATGCTACATGCCAAATATCTAAACTCTTGGAATTTAGTTAATCAAAAGAAGACTTGAATGTTTAAGCACTGAGCATAGCAATTTCAATGAAGACATTTTCAGACATTATTACTATACAATATGATAAAAAAGAATCGATTTAAAAGCGCCCAAAACCCGTGCATGGACGGTAGAGATAATTGAAAGCTACACATTACGTCCCTCCCAGCATTATGTTACTTTCGAAAAGGATTACAAGACTACATGCAAAAATCTCAACCAAGGCCATAGTACTTTAAAAAAATAGGATTTTAAAGACATGAAAACGTTATATAAAAGTCCACATAAACTTAGTGATTTCCTGTGTATGTCCATTTATGACCCTAGAGGCTTGACTTGCATACATTACTTGTATCGCAATCAATTAACCAAATGCTGAATGCCAAATATCTAAACTAATGACATTATTGTTACACAAAAGGAGATGAATGCATTTACCTAAAAGTATATAGTATCGCGGGACGGACTCAATATTGATCAAAGGGAAATGATTAATATAATTTATGTTGAAGGCCACAAGATGATATCAAATACCTTAGCTCTAGGTATTGCATCATCTGAGAAGTCTTTGGCGATGTTTAATTGTACAAGTCTGTATAAATTACAAAACCCGTCAAGTGGGATTAAATTTGATCCTAGATGCCTTACTTGTACAAATTTGTAGACGACCAGGTGATGCTTCATGTCTAATATTTACGCTTTGAAAATTGTCCTTTCTAAAAAGTCTAATACATGTATTTGCTTCTGTGAGCAAAAACACAATAAAGATCATATGACGCATATCCGGCATAAATGATGGGGGAAGACGACCTCAGATGTCCTTCCATGCATTATTAGGAAAACCAAGTAGAACCACCGAGGTTCCGTAAGCTGATTGGATAGCTTCCTCACATTCAGAAACCCAAAGTCCCTTTCGGGATTCGAAACATCTTGGCATAGGCCGTCCTGTGCCGGGACATATATTACTTCATTAATGCTGACTTAGCAAATACCAAACGCAATTACCTTTACTAAATGGACAAACCTTTTAATTAGCAAGTAAATAACATGATTTGCAAGATTATTTTATCTCTTCATGGTGATAAAGATAAGTCCATTCAGATCCATTATGCTTGGCCATTTGAATTTATTTTCCTATTATTTGACCACAGATAATAGTCTACAATACTTAGTATTATTAGGAAGTTTGCTCAATCTCCCACCAACAAAACCTTAATCTTTTATTAAAATTAGTTACTTGTCTCATATTTCTCAGGACAATCATCATCAGCAAAAACAATTTAATCACGTTTGATTATACATTTTGACCGATGTGGTGTTTGTTTTCATCATAACATTTATCGAGGTTATCTTAGCCGAAAAACACTCAACAGATTTGTTTTTTAAACTGTTATCATAAATTTAAAAACGCGAATATTATTTTCTATGGTTTGAGGTATTAAAGTACCTATTCGAAATTATACTTTAAAGTATTTCCGTCTGTAATAATAAGTCATTGATAATAGCGTTCTCAACAGGCTTCTAAAATGTTTACCTGATATTCAATATTCGAACATAAATCAAGTACATAATATCGTATCATTTAATTGATAACACAGAAAATTTATAAGACTACCTGATAATGCAATACGTTATGTAACATTGTGCTAAAGTCAAAATGTCATCACTGTGTAATGTCAAGCCTGCCACTGATAATAGACTTGCTCAATTCTCAGCACAGCCATTTTGTTACATTTTAAAAGTTCTGAGATATTAAAGGAACTCCACTGAGGTTTATAGGCGTACAAACATAAACTTTAAATTTTTTACATAGATAAACATGATCACTTAAAACAGAAATACAAATAAAATATAACCAAGACATAAACAAGACATACATTGAAAATCATATGTTTGTGCTATGCTAAGTCCGATTTGAGTGAAAAGCGTTTAAACGCTTTTCAATTTTTGATCACTTTTCACTATTATAATAATTATTCTGGAAAAACGGAGCGAGCTGATGATCTGATATTTTGCACATCTCAAAAATTATTTCCAGTCCCGTCATGTCAAAAAACCTCAGTGGAGTCCCTTTAAGAACTCGAGGTTATAAAATATTTTTTGAGTTCTATCTTTTCATGCGTCAGTGTACATTCTGAGCTGGTCTTTGACCATATATTCCGATTGATTTGAATTTGTATTGTTTATTGTTTGTATTTTCAGTGTCTTATTATTCTTTAAGTATGTCATTACAGAAACGTATTCACTATTTATTTAGAACCTCATGATGCTCTCATTTTATTTGCATTAACCCAGTGAGAAGGCCATCAATTTCAACACGTATTTAAGTTTTAATGTTTGACGTAAGAAAACTGTAAAATCCTTGAATTTAAATATCTATTAATATCACCAAAATCATAACGTTTAATTCACCTTTTATTTTCATATAAAAACAATTATGACAAAATAACATACACATTGACCTTATATTTTTATTGTTTTTTGCCAAATTAACCATGTTATTTTTATCACAATTTGTATGACAATGATGCGCGTTATTAAAAAGTATGTGTACGTCAAAACGGAGGGATATTATCTGTAAAATCGATATACACTTAGCAATTAAACAAAAGACACCAGGATAAAAAGCACACGTTCAAAGACATTATCAATTTTGAATGAATAAATCGAATGAGAATTGATAAAAAATGTTTTCAAATTTCGTTAAGAAAGTAGCGAGCTACCTAAATTTGTTACTACTATTCTGATTGCCGATCATATAACGTCTTATGCTTAACATCATTTCGATAAAATCTGCGTCAAACATGGTCGTTTATCGCATTTATTTTTGATGAATTTCACGTATGAGCTAATCTCAAAATATTCTAAATTCAAACATGGATATTGTGTGGACGTAAGTGTTTAGAGAATATAATTAATTATTATTAACATTAAAGTGGAAAGAAAATGATTAAACCATATTCTGTTAAACCATGGGCAAATTTAAGTTGTAGGTCGATTCAATATACATATTTATTTTATGCTTTTTAGTGGATTACTGATTTATCCGTGAAAATTATATTTGGTAATTTCACAGTGAAAATTATCAAAATATAATTTCACTCTTTTCATTGACGAAACTACTTTTTTAAGATTTTCCCCATGTGGTACCTCAATTTTATTTTTGCTGACAATTCTGACAATGTCAGGCTGTTTAAAGCAAAAGCAAAACTGAAATTGATAAATAACTTAAATGTCAAAAGTAATAAAAAGAAGAAAACTTACTTCTATTCATTCAAATTCATGAAATTCCAATCACCAAATTTCGTTTTTTTGTTTCATTTTGACAGTCTCAAAAATACATTCCTTCCCCATGCAAAACTGCTCTTGATGACATTTGGGCATATTAAAGTATCCTACGAGCAATAACTGCCGTATGCTTTATGAAAAATTGAAAGCATTGACAGCCATAACTCGAAGAATAAGTTAAATCAACCCAGCGTTCTTGAGCAGGTTTCCAAGTTTTCCATTTTCCTAGCTCCTTTTCTGAATGTTTTCACATCTGTCAACACTTATTTTTTGTCTGTTACAATCCTCAAATAAGTTTTCTTTCTTTTAAAAATGTGTATGACTAACAAATCCAAATTATATCCCTCTGAATCTTACACAATTATTTTCCTCCCATGAAATACACAACTTTAAAAAATGGCTGCCGCTTACAATTTACAAAGCCATGTCTAATATAAATTCGCACTAAGTAACAGAAATATGGATGGATGGTTGGACTTTTTCTCCTACAAGAATTGTTTGTTTTTATTATCAAAACAAGCGATCGTTCATATTTTTTTAATAAAATTAATAAATATCACCGTCATTTAATGTTGATTGGCTGACTTATTTTTCAGCTCAAGACTTCTTTTTTTTAATGAGAAATTCCGAATAAATGGGGCTCTCAATGGGGGAAACAGTTTTAATATTAACGTTAAAATTATGGAAATTTCGTTTTAACTTGTTTTTAAGCATAAAATAAAAAGAAAATTTGTCTGTTTGTTGTGTAAGATGTAATTTTATTTCATCTCGTGAACTTTAAAAACAGTATTCTCACTCGTGGCTTCGCCACTCGTGAGAATACTGTTTTTAAAGCCCACTCGATGAAATAAAATTTCATCTTACACACAAACAAACAAATATCCTCTATATATTATATAACCAATTCAATTTTGAGGCAAACGGTGCCCTTCATTTAGCCAATTCAATGTTTCAAGGGAAAACAATAGCATTAAACAGTTGAATCAAAACAAGTTAAATTTGAACATGGTTTATATATGTATATGAAATAAGAGTATGCAATGATTAACAACAGGAGCAGAAAAGCTTAACAAGTAGTTATGGTATCGAAATAAGAAAAAAATAGTATATTTACTAACATACATAATCACTTTTTATTTGTTTATATTAGTTCGGATATAAAAAACAATAATGCAATAATGCAGAACCGTAAGATAGCGCATGATTATGCTTAATTCTTGATGATTTTAATGCTTCCGATGTATCATTTTTTTTAAACCAGATATTAATTATCTTCAATATATATCATAACATGTTCTGTACTGCTTATAAGACTAAATGAAAACAAGACAAATAACGATCCTTTGAAACATTCGTAACCAACATTATAATCATAAAATTCCTTGGTTTAAGTAATAAAGCAGACGATTTGTTCCTAATAATAACAATAGAAATATATGATTTACTTGTTTGACATCAAACTAACATGAACGCAATATTGTACTAAATGGGCCATATTTTCTAAGTATTTATTGATGTTTCAAGCAGGTAAAAGATGAAATAAAAACCATCGCTGAATTTATTTTAGAAAACGCAACATTTTACCAGACGATTCAAACTTTAAACTAAACACAACTATAGATACAGAATATATGTGATTGTTACAAAGTCACTTCTTACATCAAGCGCGCGGATGTCCTTTACTCATAGGCAGAAAAAATGTTAAATTTTTAACTAATACACTTTGCACCAAACACCTTTCATATCATTATGTCTACACATAGTCAAGAAGGTAAATTCGCAATTATGTGTTAACGCCAAGACAATACTTATACGATACCACATTTGTTTGTATTGCTTTTGTATTTTAAGATATGACAGCAGTATCATAACAATACTAATATACTTTACAGGACGAGAAGAAGATTGATTGTGTTCGGACTTGTATGTGTAGCCATTACATTCCTTCAATATCAGTTATCGCATGGTATAGTAACAGCGATAAGCTCCACCAACGAACAGTTCCTATCCGAAATACCTTTGTGAGTTTTATAGTTATATGTTTTCATGGGTTATAATTACAATAACACAGCGTTAGTATGGTGCCCATAAGGTGATATTTTCCACACATTTTTTCCAGGAGTTAATCTGTTGTTTTTTTTTACAAAATATTGAATCGTTATAACGAAACATTTATTCCTTTTTTACGAAATATTGTTATAATAACCATTATAATGATATATAAACACACTGAATATGTTGAGAAAAATGTTATTTACATGTTTACCTCTGAATTAAACAATTATTTGTTTGTACAATGAACAAACACTACATTAATAAACATTTGTAGTCAACAGGTCCGATAGGCCTATAAGACAAAGACACCATGAAAACAAAAACAAACAAAAAATTGAAACCGCCTGAAGACATAAATCTATATATCTGCAGCAAGTCCAAAAGCGCAGCAAGTCCTTAAGCGCTGCAAGTCCAACAATGCAGCAAGTTATAAAGTGCAGCAAGTCTAAAAGCCCAGCAAGTCCAAAAGCGCGGCTTATTTATCAAGCATTATATGAACTTTTTTTATATATTTGAATCGAATTTTGTTTTTAGAAAAGCCCTGCGATCTTTTCAATCGAATGAACAATGTGATGACACTTTAATAGCTGCTGATCATATGCTTTCTTCTATATCTATACAAGGTAAGGTGGTGTTAATAAATGTATATATAGATTTATAATGTTTAATAAATTACAAACTCTATATTTTTGGAAGCGCTTACAAATGCCAAATGTTATGTTTGCAGGGAATTACGTTATCATTAAACAGTCCCGTTTTTTCATGACGTAACGTCATTTGTTGACAATATTTTTAATCAGGGAGCAGCTCAGTCTTTCTTGGAGAGTATGTTCTATTTACGGTTGTACTGTTCAACGGCTACGGCATACAAAAAGATACTGGAGGGGATCAATTACGAGCACGTTTATACAATAACGTCCTTAAAGCATATACACCCGGTACGATTTTCGACCACGATAACGGAACATACACTGTAGCAGTGCAAGCATTGTGGACCGGACAAGCTCAGCTGCAAGTAGAAATTTTATACACAAAAGAAGTAATGATACCTACAATCCGATTAAGGAGAACTTGGGTATGATTTTATTGAGTAAACATTCCTTAGAATATTGGTAAATTGTTAATATTGATCATAAAAAATGGTGGCAATTAGTCAAAAAATAATGTTAAAAACTGTACACCAACAAGCATTGACTTTAATAGAGAAAAACAAAATTCATAAAAAAGCCCAAAATTTGAGAATGTTCTAGCCTCCTTTTGATTGAGCCTGTCCATGGACGGTTCTGAAAAGTGCAAGTTTTTTAATGCCCCCCTAGCACCGGCTAAGCAGAATTTAATATTCCAATATTTAATTTAAGAATTTTAATTTGTAATATTTCAACACGCAAATGGTGAAAGTTTTTATTTATAATTCTACAACTAGTTATGTTATTAAAATATCATAGCCTTTAAGACGGATGAATTCCATTTATAATTAACTGTACGGAGGCTTACTTGTTCTAATGCATAATGTTCTTCAAAATAATGAATCCTACAATTTTGCAATCGCTATTTCATCTCCTACGTTACATAGGTCTCTTATGATGCAAGGGATACAAAGTCATACATGAAAGGTATGAACTCCTAATAAGGCATTTTCATCTCCTCAAAAAATTATTATATTTAAAAATATTCCGAATTTGCACAATATGTGTCGGTAGTGTTAGGATAATTGTTTAGTTTTACTTTTACTTATATAAAACTGTGTTTTCTTATTTTGATAAAGGATTGTACCAACACATTCGCTGTGTTTTCTAACAATGCCTTAACCGAAAAAACGGCCTGTGGTCCAGATTATAAAACTGTTTTAAAATATTCTAAACGATCCAAAGTGTGCGACTTTTCTTACTGGAACAAGTCGCTCAAATGGTTTTGTGTGGAACCCAGCAATAATCTAACCTGTTACCACTGGAGTTCTATTGCTCGTAACTGGGAAAATTATACCAGCGACCTCAGCAAGTGCGAAGAGGAGCTTAGTCAAAGGTACTAAAATATCACTTGTTTTAAGAAATACCAACAATAAACATAACTATTCAAATAATAACTAAACACGTTAATACAAACTCGTTATTTGTAAATAAAATTGAATTTAACAATAATGAGTAAAATAGAAATGATGCATTTATAGAATGGAGGGGCATTTAAATAAACAGCTTCTAAATGTAATATATGCCCAGCTTTATAGTGTCATCAAGTTTTCTAAAAGTGTCAGAATGATGACTGGCTTTGATGTAATTTTATCTCAAGAAAGATTTAGTAATGAAAACGTAATTAGATTATTCTCAGTTGGATGGTTATCAAGTTATTTAGATATAAGATGTTTATCTTTTCACATTACTACAACAAACTCTGATCATTGTGTGCGTCTGAACGTTTCACAACCAAAACAAACACACACCATCCATTAACCGCTTATAAAATCACGTCAATTAACGGGCTAATATTTACCTATATACTAAGTACTAGGCATCCATGTTCAGATGCATGTTTATATTTAAGTCGAATAGGATGTAATTGCAAAGACCAGCACAACGAGTTATCATTATAATAAACGCTATTTATTTAATGTGTTTCTTTTTACTAAGAGATCCTGATTCAAGTATCCCATCAAAAATATCAATACAAATACGTCCAAGGGCAAACGGCACTACACCATATACTGCATTTGAAGATGCCAGAATCCCGTGTTCCAGTTACAATAGAACTGCATTATGGTTTAAAGTTAAACCTACAGGATATTTCTACAAAAACAAGTGGATACTTACACATTGTAAAGGTAAAATGTTATCTATATACATTACATAACTGTTAACAATTACGTTTGTTTTAGAGTAATAGAGGCAATAAATGATCGTCGATCAATGTAAACGCGCGTCAAATATGATACAATTTACCAATTGTCGTTCTAATTTGGAATAACTGTCCATGACAACTGTCGATCATGTTGACATGACACTTTTTAAAACTTCATTGAAGACGCCTAAGCTTAATAGTGTTAGGTTTAGGGTTAGGCTTTGTATATTACATTGCTTTTAGCAAAGCTAGTTGCAATTATCCCTTAAGGTACGTGAATAAAACTAGCTTACAGGCATGACAAAGCAAGCGGAGGTTCATTGCGTCACGCACATCAAATGAACATCTGTAAATCATTTCAAAGCCAGTTGCACTTGGATCTGGCAATCATTACAACCAATCTAACACTCAATCGGCATTCCCAATCAAGGTGAATCAGGATATTTTAGTTACCAATGATGACATAAAGACGTCAAATTCAAATGATAGTGACTCATATATGTGTATCTAGCCTTTCGATTACAAGATATGTGGTGTGACTTCAATTGTTAAATCACCCTTATTACTCGAACTTCGATGTGATGTAAGAAAAGTAGCAGCAAATTTTACTCGATGAAAATCTCCGTTAAGAAAATAGAAAAATACAAAATACATGTATTCTAGTTCACACTGTAAATAAAAACAAAACGAAATAAATGCGCTGTCATCCAAGTTGTGCCGATGCACATTTTCAGAAACAAGAGAACACAGAACAAAAGCATTGGAATGCAGAAATAAAGGATAAAACTGAATATCGTATGGCAAATATCAAAGGCATAATAAAAAATCACAAACACATACCGGATTAGAGGCAAACTAAATAATAGTTTTTTGTTGTTTTTTTAATTGGCTTAAGTAAACTAAACAGAATATAATTATTAGCGACAATTTAATATTTTTTAGAACTATTGTTGTATACATAGTGATAATAGTGAAGGAATACCCTGATGCAGACATAATGTCCTTAAAATAAAACACTTCTTAACACAGTGATAACTTTTACGGAATGCAAAAATGCATTTCCGTTCCCGAAATAATCACTTGGTATATACACTTGTAAGTACATGTTGTTAAACAGTTTCCGGAATAAGTTTGCAAATCCGGGATTTTCGCGAACTCAGCTACCCTTTTTTAAGTAATTAGAGAATAAATAAAGAGTTCAGTTAACAAGTAATAGTTACCGTACGAGGAATAGGTCTGCATAGTATTTACAGACCCGGGTGGCGATTTGAAGACCGAGAGAGCGTAGCGATCGAGGTTTTTAAAAGGCCACCGGGTCTGTAAATACTATGCAGACCTATTTCGAGTGCGGTAACTATCTTACCTACATGCTCTTTTGTTTTTCTATCTATACTTCATTTTTAAACTCAGTATTTATTAATATTACTCACAAGAAACAAATTATTTATGTACTTCATCGTGTTTAATAAAGATACCAACCGCTACGCTCTTGTAATTTAATCGTTCACAAATCAGTTGTTATTTGAATATTCTCGTGTTTTTCGTGGGGTTTCATTATGTAATAAGGTCAGTCAAGTAAATGTACTTGTTGAGTTGAGTAACAGAAAATGAAAACAGAACTTGTCGAGATTCTATTTCAAGTAGGCAAAGGTAAGATCATTATTTTGATATATGAATACATAACATAATAATAACATATACACATATTGAGGAAGATAAAAAAACGTTTTCTAATCATAAAACCCAAAACGGAACACTATTTTTACTGGTATATATAATTAATTTCATGGTAAATAGATGATCAGGCAATTTCTAATATAATAAGAATATACGATTCTTTCAAAGGAAAGTAAAAGACAGGGTTCTACAAATAAACATTAGTAATACACGTAGATAAACCGTCATGTAAGTTGGGTTTTTTGTTGTTTTTTATGATGGCTGATTTTAAATATTCTTAGAATTTCATTCATGTTTGGAAGAATTCTCTTTCGGTGTATTTTTAATTAGCATAATCCCTTACTAATATGTTTAATAAAACCGCAGTCTGGAATGGAAGCGCAAGTCGTATTCTTGCGAAGGACAGGCGAGTACTGCATGTACTGGTATACAAAATTAAAATTGTAATATAAGAAAAACTGGGGAGAATGAGAAAAACGGTCTTATACTTAAGATGAACTATTCTCTCACTGAAAGTAATACCTTGGGAAAGAAAGATGCAGAAGTTGACTTTGATTCGATATGCACCAATAATAAAATCGTCTTATTTATCCCATGATGCAGAATTGTTAAAATAATGCAGGATTGTGCAAAATCAGACATAGTTGTGGAAACTAGTATCTTATGAAGCTATATAGTTCGGCAAATGTGTTAGGTATACCGAAAAGCAAACAATAAAGAAAGGCTTAATGTGCGTTATTGTACTCATGCATATCGCGAAACACAAACTTCAACGCCAGAACAGTATAAGTAGCCAGTTCGTTAGTCTTACAAATAATCTAGAATATATGTTATGAGGGCCCTTACAGCCGTATGCGCTAATTTATTTCTATTAATTTGGTGAAATATATATAGACCCTTTTTCCTATTTGAAGTGGTCATTACCTCCCCTCCCCACCCCCTATAAATTTGCACAATTCAGCGTCATTTTTCAAAATTTCTCTCTTACGGGATATCTGTTAACGGTGAATATTGTGTAATGCACGAGTTTCTCGACTTCTCATATTTTCTATTGTATTGAGAACAATAGAACAATAACAGGTCGGTATATATTTGCAGACCTGTTAAGCGGTCGGTAAGTGATTTACTAGACCGCTTTTAGCAAAAGAGCCGGTAGGTAATGAAATATATAGTTTAACAAAACTGGTCTTTAATTCCACATACCCCTAACAATGAGTGCTGGGGAGACACTTATCGCGGATACATCTGAAGTATAACAGCGAGCCTTCTGGTCTTTACAATACGAGTCACTATAAGCAAGATATCACATGTTTATGTGCTCTTGTATTAAATTGACATAAGGCTTCCCGAGATGAAACTAATACATTTATTATCGCGTGGTAAAAATAACTAAACACCTTCATCTAAAAATAAAATGACATCGTCATATTTTGATAAATATGTGTTATTCGTAATAGTCATTTACGAGATCATTTAAATTTCGATGCACTGAAAGTATTTTTTATTCATTTATGTAAATGAATAAACATGTTGAATAATTACTTATATTATATAAAAATATACAAACATACAAAAATAATATATTATATTATATAAAATTATACAAACTGACAAAAAAACAACATTTTATCTATATGGCCTTTTATTACCCTTTCAGATTTTTTCCGCCTTTTTAATTTGATTTTGATCACCCGAAAGAAATTGGTATTACCGAGCCAGACGGGTAATATACACACTAAATTTTTCACGTTGTAAACAACATGCGCTGTGGCGATGCGCGTACGGTTTGATCTTACACTTTACAAGCACTTTTTAACTGTCAAATGATAAATATTTACCAAAATAGAGTAATGATACATATTCTCATCAGTTTGAAAACAAATATGACTTTGTGAAAGCTTGATATTAATTCCAAAAAAGTGCGTACAACAGACTACTCCTTTTCTCTTGTTTACATCCGTTACGTTCGAAAGAATATACGTCATGTATTTATATGACGTCATGTTGTGGTGAAGGGGTACCTTAAAAGGAATCTTATTTCGACGTTTCATTTGAAGTAGCAATGATTCATTTTAAAATTGTCTAAGCTCGACAGGGAAGGGTAATAAAAATTATTTTTTTTGGTTTTGGAGTGATATATGTGGATATATTACCTGCCAAGATAAAATATCGCCCTCGCCTAACGGCTCGGGTGATATAAAATCTTGACAGGAATATATCCACGGCGAGGGCGATATTTTATCTTGGCAGGTAATATATCCACATATATCACTCCCCCCCCCCCAAACGGCTGTTTGCGATATAACATTCGACTAGCGCTCGGGCTATATTTTCAAACAACCGTTTATATAGGGCCATATAAGCTAACAGTTTTGTAACTAATACTCTAATATAGCACGCATTGTTATAACCTTTTCATTTGCATATGTATCTGCTATATATAGTGATGCTACTTTATAGATAAATTACTTGCATATTTAAATTAGGTATTCCGGACGGAACATGCATTTTTATTCTGTTTATAAGTACTTATAATGAGACATAATAAAAAATGGAATTTACTGCGTAACATATATGGTTCTCAAGAGTGAACGAAATTACAAACGATATATACGGGTAAAAATAAGGGTTACAGGCCCGGATCCATCGGGGATGGAGCTTAAGGGACTGAAGCCCCCAAGACAGCCTTGCATTAAAAGAAAAATTCTATCAAAGACAAAGTATTAGCAAAACTTGCTTAAGATAAATGTTATTCACTTAGTCCTTGTATATTTGAGCTTGGACCCCTGCCGAGTTTCCTGTCAGTCAAAACACTGTATGTCTATTGGCATTTTTTCAACATAATGTTTTTGACTCAGGTCATGCAGAAGATTTCATAGATAACTCTTGGTCAGTGAAGAGGCATATTAAGCGTGTACATAATACTGAGTAAATTAGCTTAAGAGGTGTTAAAGTAGATCGAAATATATGTGCTAGTAAATTAGTAATAGCCCCCTCGAATGTGAAGATTTTGTTTTTTGTATTTGTATTTTCTGCCATGTCTTTTCATGTATGCATTTTTTAACGTAATATTGCGAAACAAACTTGTGATGTGCCGCACCAGATAAAGACCGAATAGCACCGCGGGGCTCTTTAACTTAAATTTAAGTGTGCGTTCATTATATTTACTTTAGAATGTTTATTACTTTTATCTGCTTTTTTGTACAGTGTCTAATTTAATAGTTTAACCTTTTAATGTTTATTCTCCAAGTTAAAAATTAAAATATTTTTTCTATATTCTATCTCTTATATTAGCCATGATATCAC